TTTACCCAAAAGTCGAAAATTCAGCTTCCCATGTACCAAACAGTTAATGAGGTACTCAACATGTTCCAATGTTACTTTAGGTCAACAGTATGGGTGAGCGAAAAATGTTACACCAACCAAGTAACCTTCTTTAACACCATACTATATATCCTATAGCATGCATACGACATTCAGGTGACATTCACATTTCTCATCATTCATATTCACCATATAGAATATATATCTATACTATATATCCTATAGCATGCATACGACATTCATGTGACGTTCACATTTCTCATCATTCATATTCACCCTATAGAATATATATCTCATATTATATATCTTATAGCATGCATACGACATTCAGGTGACATTCACATTTCTCATCATTCATATTCACCATATATAATATATATCTATACTATATATCCTATAGCATGCATACGACATTCATGTGACGTTCACATTTCTCATCATTCATATTCACCCTATAGAATATATATCTCATATTATATATCTTATAGCATGCATACGACATTCAGGTGACATTCACATTTCTCATCATTCATATTCACCCTATAGAATATATATCACATACTATATATCCTATAACATGTGACATTCATTACTATATACGACATATCACATACTATATACGACATACTATAGAATATATATCACATACTATATACGACATTCATGTGACATTCATTACTCATAGTCTTATTTCCATTGGGACTCCCCCAATAAATAGTCAATAAATGCACCCGACATCATTACAGCATAGCGTATATGTCTGTAACTACAAAGTGACTTACAATTATTACTTTATTCCGAGTCTTATTTCTATTGGGACTCCCCCAATAAATAGTCAATAAATGCACCCGACATCATTACAGCATAGTGTATATGCCTGTAACTACAAAGTGACTTACAATTATTACTTTATTCCGAGTCTTATTTCTATTGGGACTCCCCCAATAAATAGTCAATAAATACACCCGACATCATTACAGCATAGTGTATATGCATGTAACTACAAAGTGACTTACAATTATTACTTTATTCCAAGTCTTATTTTCATTGGGACCCCCCAATAAATAGTCAATAAATGCACCCGACATCATTACAGCATAATGTATATGCCTGTAACTACAAAGTGACTTACAATTATTAATTTATTCCGAGTCTTATTTCCATTTGGACTCCCCCAATAAATAGTCAATAAGTGCACTCGACATCATTATCAACATACCCATATATGTTCATAATGATTAAATGATTCACATCTCATCCATCATCCATAACAGAAGATCCACGCAATTTCCAACATAATGCATAAATTAAAGATTTATCCTTACAAACCCTTTACCTCTTTCACATACCTTGTTCGTATCAACAAGTATGATTTAGAGACATTTATCCCTTACCTTGATGAGTGTTGGGGATCGGTTCCGAGTAACTTTAAAAGTCTCCTCCGCGATTTCCTCCAACCTTAGGATCTCTTCTCATTTCCACCAATAACAACAATGTCAGTCATTTATTCCAAATAACACATAAATAACTCGTATTTCATCATCAAACATACAAGGGATTCACATAGATTCAAGATTTCCAAAACTACTTCAATACAAGTTTCCAAACATCTAAACATACATGTTCATCTCATATATCAACATCAAAGCACAAACTTATCATCCACATCTAATATTTCATCTCTTTCTCTTTATAATCATATTCTCATTTTGGGGGTTTTTGGGGTTTTCATGAATAACCCACAAAACCTTTCCATTCATCAAATATCAACTCTAAACCAAGAGTTTACAAGAGAAAAACAACATAAAACGAACCATAACTCTAAAGGACGAGTTTCTATGGTTTCTCATATTTTGAAAATAGATCCAACATACAAAAAACAAGTTAGAGAGGAAGAAGAGTTAGGAACAAGAGGTTTACCTCTTCTCAAGCTCTAAGATGAGTCATAAGGCTCTTTGCTCTTGAAAAACTCTCCTCTCTCTCTTTTCTTCAAAGTTCTAACCCAAAAATGTGTTTGGGGTTTCTATTTTAAAGAGCAGTCGTCGGGTTCTCGCTCAAGCGAGCCCATTCTCGCTCAGGCGAGAAAATCCCGCCTATTTTAAAAACTCAGATCTGACCCTCTCGCTCAAGCGAGGGATTCTCGCTCAAGCAAGAATCTCACAGTGTCAACAACCCCAGTTTGCCATTTCTCGCCTAGGCGAGGCAATTCTCGCTCAAGCGAGAATCTTCCAGTATAGCCCAGGATTTAACCCTCCCAGGTGATCCTTTCTCGCTCAGGCGAGAATCTTTCGCTCAAGCGAGACTTACAGGACTGATACTATAATTTCAAAGACAAAAATTCAGGGTGTTACAATCCTCCCCCTCTTATAAGAATTTTCGTCCCCGAAAATTAAACATACCTCGGAAAATGATATCATCACCTACACTTTAGGCACAAGAATACTCAACCAAAATCACAATTCGATTCTCCAATCCATTAAGATTACTTAATCAGTCACTAAGGGCGTACACCACTAAACCGTGATATCACTCAACCAATTCATGAACTAACTCATCACTGTCCAACTATTAAGATCTCAGCCTCTAATAACTCGAATGCCATGAGAACTAAACCGTAATTCAGACTAAAGATCTTTCCTATATTCGTCAAGAACCATAGGTATCTAGCACCTATCCATCTATCAATCCTAACATACGTTAAGAATCCCGATAACACTCTCGAACTTCAGCGAATGAGGAACTCCTTATCCCGTATCTATTTAAATGCACCTTTTAACATCCATCATACACTAGCTAGTTTCATCTCCACTCGAGAATCTAGCACAATTTCATTTTACTCGATCCACAAAATACTTACACAATAGGACTATTGGTGTCTCATCCATTGTACACAATCAACTATTCCAGTAATTGTCTAATTACATCAAATATTTCTACCATCAAATCTTATCGTCTAAAGAAATTACCGATTTCTAGCCTCCACTGAAACCATAAAACCATTGATTCACACCAAAACTAGGTATTCTGTTACTAATCGGCCAACCCAAGTCGACCAACACTCAAACCTACAACTTGCGTTCGGTTTGGTCATCCCAATTCCGTTAGCAAAGATAAACTTATTAACCCACTCGCATTATGTCCAGAAATACATGGGCGTCTTATATCACTAAACTTTTAACAACCTCCTACTTATTCCGATATGGTTGCTAAAATTTCAGAATTTTCCAACATAAGACTAACTCATTATTTAGCCACAAGTTATGTTTCACCCAAATATAGTTTTCGAAAGCGTTTTGAATCCACGACTCCTGGCAACCACGTCGTGAAACACAATTTGCATACTCATTTCAACATACTCATCTCATATGGTTACACCACACCCATACACCGCAATTACTGACGTTCACGAAACAGCTACAACTTTTTCCGGTAAAACATTCAATGCAGACAATTGAGGTACACCACCTCTATTTCTTGCATTGTCAATGTCCCACCGCAAACGAACCGATCATTCGCGACCAAAAGTTTCACGTATAATAAAACGTATTCATCACATCGTCAGGGTAAGTAACTTGACTAGCCTCTTTCCTCGGCTATCAGTATTCGTCTTACCCCCTTAGCATACACATACATATCAATGCATACTAAATTTTAAATCTTCACCTCAACAATTACACACAGTTAAACATAACACTATTTGCTGACCGCTAGTCCATTTCCAGGATTAAATCCAACTGGGATATCATAGCGCATATCAACACTATGGTAAAGGTTTTACCATTTACCCCAACCGTACACTGAGACACCACATCGACATCCACCACCGATACACTGAGTTGGTGGGTAAAACTAAGTCGAAAACAACAACTTGGGGTGCAATCTCAGTCGGTTCACACATTCACCAATTATAGAGAGTGTGTCGCTCCCGTATTAGACAACACTAAAAGGGATACCTGTTACCATGCGATTTACCTCTCGCCGGATCATCAACACCCGATGTCCTCGCGCCACTTGGGGTAACCATCCGACCGTGGTCCCTTGCCTCCTCAGCATGCATGACATTAGGTCTCCGATCCAGCTTGGGACAATACCTTTTAATATGCCCAAACTCCTTGCAGTGGAAACACCCATTCCCTTTTCCTGGGCATGTACTTCCATAATGAGGTCTACCGCACTGGTTGCACATGGGAGTAGAAACCCCTTCGGTAGGAACGGTAGGTTTCGACCCTTGGTACCCACGGTTACGACGGACACCAGTTAGAGCATGTGATCGTTGGCTTTCATTCACCTTCTCCTCATACATCCCGCATCGGGTCAGACTATCCGATTCTGTTGTCTCTGCACCACACATGGTAACCACTCTGCCGATAGATTGAGGTCGTCTAGTCTCCATGGCATTCATACTCTATCGTGACATAGGACAATACCTCTTGACATGTCTGGTCTCTTTGCAACGAAAACAGTGATTTGTCTTTGCTACACCGGGATGGAGAGTTTAACCGTGACCCTCCGGCATTTGCATGGGTCCTCGGCCCATGCGATGTGTACCTCCGAGTGCCAGCAGGTAGAAAACAAGGCTTTTGCTCTTCGGAAAACATCCTGCCCTTGCCCCTTCCGTGTACAAAGTTTCTTTGAGGCCCGAAGTTCGTGGGGAAATTGGATTTGGAGGTCGCCACTCCACTCGCCTTTATGTTAGTACCCTCCATTCCTTGGACCCACTCAACAGTAGCATTCGGAGCGAATCCGCTTTGGAACAGAGAGCCTGGACCTGGCGCTACGCTTCGATTCAGATTTTGTAAATTCTCATTCATGCCCTAAAGCACCTCTAACATTTGTGCCAATAGATCTTTGGGAACATTTTGGCTCGTTCCCCTTCCTCTTTCAGCCATGCGTACCTGTACTCATGTACTAGTCAGTAAGCTAATTTTCAAACCAGGCAAATCAACACATAACCACACAACAGTTCACTTACATCACATAGTCTCATCATTTATAAGTTACAAAGAAGCAAGTAAGGTCATACCCTAGGCCGCAGGACAAACTATGCTCTGAAACCATAATTGTAACGACCGATTTTCTACCCTTAAAATTTTTTTTTCATTTATTTTTATCCTTTCTTACGTACAGTCGTCACCTTCATTGAAAACTCTCAAGTATCACTCTTTGAAAATACTCTTTACCCTATTATATTATCATACAAATTTATGATGCGGAAAAACATAATTCATTCAAATATCATTTACCACATACAACCAGTTATGGGTCCCCCAAAGTTATAAAGCCCATAACTACACATATCCGTATTAATCTAAACGGATTTACAGTCATCCCATAATGTTATCAAATTAACTACAACGTCAAGTAGCAAATAAGACAAACAACTTAATGAACACCAAAGCTTCCTAAGTGAGCGTTCTTCTCAAAATCTTTCTTTTACCTACAATGAGATTATCATAAACAGCACACAAAACAAAAGAGAGTAAGTCATTAGTTCAAAACTAACATAACATGATAATCCACATTCAATTACAATTAAGCTTTAATATAATTCGTAAACACACATATGGAATTGTAAACACTCAAATCATTTTCCTTTAATTTCCACTTTACTCATATTCATCCTATAGTATATATATCCCATAATATATATCCTATAATATATATATCCCATAATATATATCTTATAGTATGCATATTACGTTCGTTCGAAATATCATCTTTCTCGTTATTCATATTCACCCTATAACATATATATCTCATAATACATATCCTATAGCATGTATATTACTTTCTTTCTCGACATCTTCCTTTTATCGCTCGTATTCACCCTATAGAATATATATCCCAAACAATATATCCTATAGCATGCATACGACATTCATGTGACATCCACATTTCTCCTCATTCATATTCACGCTATAGAATATATATCCCATACTATATATCCTATAGCATGCATACGACCTTCATGTGACATCCACATTTCTCATCATTTATATCCACCCTATAGAATATATACCCCATACTATATATCCTATAGCATGCATACGACATTCAGGTGACATTCACATTTCTCATCATTCATATTCACCCTATAGAATATATATCACATACTATATATCCATTAGCATGCATACGACATTCAGGTGACATTCACATTTCTCATCATTCATATTCACCATATATAATATATATCTATACTATATATCCTATAGCATGCATACGACATTCATGTGACATTCACATTTCTCATCATTCATATTCACCCTATAGAATATATATCTCATACTATATATCTTATAGCATGCATACGACATTCAGATGACATTCACATTTCTCATCATTCATATTCACCCTATAAAATATATATCCCATACTATATATCCTATAGCATGCATACGACATTCATTACTCCTAGTCTTATTTCCATTGGGACTCCCCCAATAAATAGTCAATAAGCACCCGACATCATTATAGCATAGCGTATATGTCTGTAACTACAAAGTGACTTACAATTATTACTTTATTCCGAGTCTTATTTCTATTGGGACTCCCCCAATAAATAGTCAATAAATGCACCCGACATCATTACAGCATAGTGTATATGCCTGTAACTACAAAGTGACTTACAATTATTACTTCATTCCGTGTCTTATTTCCATTGGGACTCCCCCAATAAATAGTCAATAAATGCACCCGACATCATTACAGCATAGTGTATATGCCTGTAACTACAAAGTGACTTACAATTATTACTTCATTCCGTGTCTTATTTCCATTGGGACTCCCCCAATAAATAGTCAATAAATGCACCCGACATCATTACAGCATAGTGTATATGCTTGTAACTACAAAGTGACTTACAATTATTACTTTATTCCAAGTCTTATTTTCATTGGGACTCCCACAATAAATAGTCAATAAATGCACCCGACATCATTACAACATAGTGTATATGCTTGTAACTACAAAGTGACTTACAATTATTACTTTATTCCGAGTCTTATTTTCATTGGGACTCCCCCAATAAATAGTCAATAAATGCACCTCTAATCATTATCAACATACTCATATATGTTCATAATGATTAAATGACTCACATCTCATCCATCATCCATAACAGAAGATCCATGCATTTTCCAACATAATGCATAAATTAAAGATTTATCCATACAAACCCTTTACCTCTTTCACATACCTCGTTCGTATCAGCAAGTATGATTTACAGACATTTATCCATTACATTGGTGAGTGTTGGGGATCGGTTCCAAGTAACTTTAAAAGTCTCCTCTGCGATTTCCTCCAACCTTAGGATCTCTTCTTATTTCCACCAATAACAAAAATGTCAGTCATTTATTCTAAATAACACATAAATAACTCGTATTTCATCATCAAACATACAAGGGATTCACATATATTCAAGATTTCCAAAACTACTTCAATACAAGTTTCCAAACATCAAAACATACTTGTTCATCTCATATATCAACATCAAAGCACAAACTTATCATCCACATATAATATTTTATCTCTTTCCCTTTATACTCATATTCTCATTTTGGGGGTTTTTGGGTTCTCATGAATAAACCACAAAAACTTTCCATTCATCAAATATCAACTCTAAACCAAGAATTTACAAGAGAAAAACAACATAAAACGAATCATAACTCTAAAGGACGAGTTTCCATGGTTTCTCATATTTTGAAAATAGATCCAACATACCAAAAACAAGTTAGAGAGGAAGAAGAAGAGTTAGGAACAAGAGGTTTACCTCTTCTCAAGCTCTAAGATGAGTCCTAAGGCTCTTTGCTCTTGAAAAACTCTTCTCTCTCTTCTCTTCAAAGTTCTAACCCGAAAATGTGTTTGGGGTTTCTATTTTAAAGAGCAGTCGTCGGGTTCTCGCTCAAGCGAGCCCATTCTCGCTCAGGCGAGAAAATCCCGCCTATTTTAAAAACTCAGATCTGACCCTCTCGCTTAAGCGAGGGATTCTCGCTCAAGCGAGAATCTCATAGTGTCAACAGCCCCAATTTGCCATTTCTCTCCCAGGCGAGGCAATTCTCGCTCAGGCGAGAATCTTCCAGTATAGCCCAGGATTTCACCCTCCTAGGTGATCCTTTCTCGCTCAGGCGAGAATCTCTCGCTCAAGCGAGACTTCCAGGACTGATACTATAATTTCAAAGACAAAAATTCATGGTGTTACAAGTTGCTCGGTCAAGGAGATCCAGGGAGGACTCCTTCCTGACTGTATGATGAAGGCGCACTACCACGCTTTTGGGCCATCAGATGGAGGTGTCGTTGGAGGCTATAAATAGAGGCATCCCCTCCTCATAATTCCTTGCAACATAATCTGACTACGATGCTTTCTTCTTTCTCCCTCTAAACTTCTGTCGACGCATTTCCGGCATACTCTCTCCCCCTTTCTTTCCGTGACATGTACAATTTCGGCAGTACCACAAAACGTCTTAAAGAGAGTAACCTGATTGTGACTAAGCCAATAAGTTTTATTTCGTGCTATTGTTGCGAGCTACCAAACAGCTTCCTACTACAATGACATTTATAGATAATATTATTGGACCAAATAGCTTGGACCTTAACAAACTGTTTCAGTTTAATGGAACTAATTTCAAACGATGGCAAAACAAGATGAAATTTTTTCTCACCATGAGAAAAGTTGTGCACGTTTTGAAAAATGTTGTTCTAGTGGTGCCAGAACAAGCTGAAAAGGAGGAAATGAATAAACTTGCTATTGATATAGCTCTGTGGAATGAAAATGACTACTAATGTAAGAATTCCATTCTAAATAGGTTGTTGGATGATCTCTATGATTACTACAGCCCATACAGTTCTGCCAAATTAGTTTGGTATGCACTTGAAAAGAAATGTGATACTGAGGAATCTGAGACTAAGAAATATGATGTCGCTACCTCAAGTATCAGATGATTGCTCTTTGGAACTAAGAAATATATCAGTAGAGTCTCAGTCCCACGAGATACAAAAAATTGCTCATGATATCATTTATGAGGGTATGACCCTAAATGAGCAATTTCAAGTGGCTGTCATTATTGACAAACTGCCACCTAGCTGGAAGGACTTCAAAAACGTCCTGAGGCACAAGGCCAAATAATTCTCTTTGGAATCTCTGATCACTCATCTTCGCATTGAAGAAGAGGCTCGTAGACAAGATCAGAGGGATGAGTTGTTGATTGTCTCCAAAAATAGCAATAAGAAGAAATTCTCAGGTGCAGTTGTAAAGCCTACGGACAATAACTTTAAGAATCAGAACCGCAATGAGAATAAGGCTAAGAACACCGACTGCAACAAAAATTCGAACCCTAAAAGGTCCAATATGCTAAGTAACCCGCTAAGAATGACTTTGGCAACATGTTTATCTGCTTTAAATATGGGAAGTCAGGTCATATGGCACGCAAGTGCATAAACAAACTAATAGATTGTTCTCCACAAGCCAACATGATTGATGAGTCACTTGTGGCAGTGTTATCTGAGGTTACTATGTTTGGAGGAACTGATGGGTGGTGGGTAGACACTGGTGCTGATATTGCAAGAGGAGTCAAAATGAAATGTTGCAACATCCATCTTCTATTTTGGTTTCAATGAAGATAAAGTTGCTGAGGAAAAGCTTGAAGACATGACAACTCAATAAACAACAAACCAAGTATGTCTCCGAACACTCCGAGTGATAAGTCCAGACATATGACGGGTGATAAGTCCAAGTTTTTGGTTCTTATACATGGTGTAGGTGGAAGAGGTTGGTGTTGGGATAAAATCAAGTCCCTTATGGAAACTTCAGGATGTAAGTGAAATAATACAGAGGCATATGAAGACAGCACGGTGGAACAACCCTTGCACCACAGCTTGGTCATCGACTTGGTAATGGGTATCAATTTTCACCTCCTACAAAAAACAGATCCTGGAGAAATTTACACAGCATCAGAATCAGGAAATTGAAAGATGAAATCATGAGTTATCAAAAGGACAAAGTACACATATCAGAATTCATCAAGTTACATGGTATCATGCGTGCATTTTGGTCAGTCACAAATGACAATAAAGAAGTATGATTAAAAGGGAAAGAAAGCAGCCATAATACAAGAAGAAGATAGAAGGTCATGGCACATTACTGAATCAAAGGAAAACCAAGATCATTTCCAAACCAGTTACACTCTCACAGCAATAATCAACATAATGGGTGGGGCATTAAACAGAACAATCAGAGAAAGAAAAAAACGAAGGGAGGGCAAACCAAATGACATATTATACAATTTAATGAGCACTAAGAGGATCAGTCATATCAATCCCATGTCAAGAGCTAAGCATTGAGCATTGGCACACTAAAATGATTATTTTTCAGTTACAATCAGGACATTTAGTTAGCATTGATAACCATCTTACTAGTGTTAATCAGAAAACAAAAAGGTTTTGCATTATGGAGTGGAATTGGCAAATAAAAAGGTCCTCTACATGCACAAACCAGGTATAAAAAGCAGTCATATGCAGGGCATCATGTCAGTTACAATCAAGCAAACGTGACAAACACTCAAGCTGAAGAACCAACATAAATCATTATCCTTTGGCATCTTTTAGTTTCAGTTACACTTGCAATAACCACATAGCTGATGGTTTTCTGATTAAGTGTTGAAAGGGAGTAATTAGTGCAGGTTAGGTTTCTTGGAAGTCAAGGGTTCCACACATCAAAGAGGGAACCTCAACCAGCTATAAAAGGCAATCAAATTACAAGTAAAAAAAAGGGATATCAAACAAGCAGTCAATATATACATATACTGTAGGTGCAGAAAAATTTCATAGCCATAGCTTCCATCCAGAGAATTCTCATCTGCCTTATCTATACATCACACCCAGATCAATTACCTACCTCTCCACCACACAATCCCATCCGAACATACACACAAAAAGCATAAACCTTCCTCACACACTACACACACCAAACAGAGAGCATCATAACACATATCCCACATGTTATGCAAGCAATCACAACAAAAAAACATAACATACACACAATAAACATACTAATATCACAACAATCAGAGAGAAATCTATACATACAACACACATATACACAGTCCCATCAGAACAGATCTACAACAGATATTTCAACATTAACTGCCTTCACTACTAAAGAAAGAGGAAGAGAACAATCACGAACCAATGTCGAGGGGGCTTCGAAAATAGCTTCTGGTTTCCGAGTCGTATAAACCACCGCTGCCATTAAGAAAGGAGGACGACACAGACGTGAAGAAGGTGCCGTCTCACGCCTGGACCAAGGCGTTTCCGCCATTCCCGCCGGTGGGGAGAGAATTCGTGAGAGGAGAAGAGCCAAGGGGAAGGGATGATGATTTTAGGGATTTTGAATCCCTTGAAACGTGAAAGGATGGAATGGGGGTAACCGAGGTTACCCCTCTAAAATTACTCACCCTTGTGAGTTTACTATATTACCCCTTCTTCTATTTATTAATTCTTTTTCTGGTTTTTATTTTATTTTATGTTAATTCAAACTCTTATTTATTTTTATGGTTGTATTCTTTTGTTATTTTATCTTTTCTTTATTTTGTCAAATTTGAGTATTTTACCAAAATTTCCATATATGTTAAGCATATGTTTTGATTTGTCATTGAGAAAACCTAATAAAAATGTATCTTCTAAAAATAATAATTCGAAGCAAAATTTATCTCAACGAATTTTAAAAAGAGTTTGATAGTCTGGTCGACGGCCCGTGTCGTTTCTTCCTTTCTGCTTTAAAAGTGGAAAGTCGGTGCACGGCCAGTGTTGTCTCTTTACTATCAACTCTAGTTTTATAAAAAAGTACTTCTAAAAATCTTTTCATAAATTAAGTGTTCCTTAATGATTTTCAAAAGAGTTTGATAGTCCGGTCGATGACCCATGTCGTTTCTTTCTTTCTGCTTTAAAAGTGGAAAGTCGGTTCACAACCAGTGTTGTCTTTTTACTATCAACTCTAGTTTTATAAAAGAGTACTTCTAAAAAATCTTTTTCTAATTTAAGTGTTCCTTAATGGTTTTCAAAAAGAGCTTGATAGTCCGGTCGACGGCCCGTGTCGTTTCTTACTTTCTACTTTAAAAGTGGAAAGTCGGTGCACGACCAGTGTTGTCTCTTTACTATTATTCCCTATTTCATAAAATTATAAAAATTATTTTTACGACGAGTGTTACAATTTTAAGCGAACCAAATTTATCAAACAAATTTTATCAAACCAAACCAAACCAATTTATCAACTTTCGAACCAGAACTACGTAGCCTTGATTTCCCTATTGCACCTAGGGATACGTAGGAGCAAGACGAATTCTTGTCAGGCACAATAATAAAAAATAAAACATTTTGCTTTTTATTACTGAATTTTATTAAATAATTTTAAGGGTATAAAAGTTCATGTTATTAGCGAGGGTACCGTTTTAATACAGGCGAACGGGGTGCTAATACCTTCCCCGATCCGTAATCGACTCCCGAACTCAGAATCTCTAATTAAAGACCAAATTATCCTAATTGGGCATATTTTGAGTTTTCTACGTTTTAACCGCAAAAAACGTAGTGGCGACTCCAAAATAATTGGAAGAGGTAGAAATCGAGTCTTCCAACCGAAAATCGGTTCGCGACAAATGTTATCTGAGGTTACTATGTTTGGAGGAACTGATGGGTGGTGGGTAGACACTGGTGTTGATATTGCAAGAGGAGTCAAAATGAAATGTTGCAACATCCATCTTCTATTTTGGTTTCGATGAAGATAAAGTCGCTGAGGAAAAGCTTGAAGACATGACAAGTCAATAAACAACAAACCAAGTATGTCTCCGAACACTCCGAGTGATAAGTCCAGACATATGACGGGTGATAAGTCCAAGTCATTGTTGGGAAAGGCAAAGGCTACGTCACATACGGAGATAATAACAAAGGAAAGATCCTTGGATTTGGAAGAGTTGGGAATGCATCTCAAGTCATTGTAGAAAACATGTTATATGTTGAAGGCTTGGAGCATAACCTATTGAGCATGAGTCAACTGTGCAACATAGGTAACAAGCTATGCAAGAATCATGCTATTTGGGTACCTGTCAATCAGAGTATAACACCTAGAGGGGGGGGGTGAATAGGTGTGAGCGGTCAATATGTCCGCTTTTCGAATTTGCGCGGAGAGAATAAAAAATATCAGAAATATTCCGCAATAGTCGATTAACAGAAAATATAATCGATTAACAGAAACATAATTTATCGATTAACACAGTAACACAATCGATTAACCAGTGCAGAAAAAGCAAAAACAGAAACTTGATGAAATGGTTTCTTGGCAAGCAAGCTATGCAAGAATCATGCAACTTCATAACAAGATATCACAAACATCACACAACAATTATTAAGATATCAAAGACTTAATCTTTATGTATAAAGATTCAATCTTTCAAATTAAAAAGGCAAGATGTGCAATATGCTTGAAATGTAAAAGATAAAGGAAAGAGAAAGAAGATCAAGAAATTTTATCTTGGTTCGTTCGCCTGTCCACTGGCAAACTACATCCAGGCCTCCCCTTCTGATCTTGGGAGATTTGCTTCACTATAATTGAAAATATGTTCTTTACACACACACTTCCAATTTGAGCCTTTCCTTCTTGCTAACCGAATCATATTTCGCCAAGACATGACAATTTCCTCCGTTCACAACGGTTGCCAATCTTGCTACTCGATGCGCCAACAAGATACTCAGTGAAGACTATACCAAGCTAATCACAGCTAGCCGATATTACAACCATATCTCTAAACCTTAGAGATTTTATAGCACTATTACAAAGAAACAAGCTTTTTGCATGAAACTCTTCAAGAAGAGTTCTTTGGCTTACACAAGCCACTAACAACCCATATGATGATTGACTCACACTCACTCACATGGGTATGAGGAATCGGGAAGCATTGAAAACAGGTTGGTGCACTCAAATTTGCACAAGTTTGAAAAAAGCCTTTCTTTTTGGAAAACAAGAAACCAAGAAAACTCTTCACCAAATAGGTTTTTCTCACATGGGATTTGACACTAAATCACAAGAAAACTCTTCACCAAATAGGTTTTTCTCACTTTTCCTGAGTTGTTTAGAAATCAAGGTGTACAAGTAGGTGTTGAATTGTACGGTAAAATTTACGCGTCTTTGATCAAAGAAATTTACAGTAACTTCCAGCGCAAGAACGAGATATATCAAACCATGGTAAAAGATAGGTTTATCATTCTATATGAGGATCTAATGGTGGATGTTGGCGGCTTCGCTAGATTTGGTCGTCCATATGGGATTTTTGAGAAAAAATGGCTAGGTCAGTTTACACATATAAATACTTATAGGACAATGTTGCGCGACACAAAGCGCTCTAAGGCATTAAACAAGCCGCGACATGCCAATCATACCGAACCAATCGATGATGACCTTTTTCTCATGTTCGCCATAAGGGAAAGACAAAGAACTGATTGGCCAAAATTGATTTTGTTGAATATGTTGGAGTTCTTTGTGGCAACATCGGGTTCTTTGGGATATCCTCTGCTTATATCTCGGATTACCGAACATGCATTAGTGGACGTCTCCGACACACCATTCATCATGACAAACATCTCTTAGAATTTTCTTCTTGGAACATACATCCATCATCACTTGGATATTTGCGCAATTGATGGAGTTTGGACGTATTTTGAAGACATTAACGCCTCTCCTATTGGCACGGTCTTACCACCTCCAGCTGATGATTCAGATGAAGATACAGTTGTTCATCTAGTTCATTATCATGCATTGGATGAGGTTGAGGATGATGAATAAGAAGAATAAGATCCAGAAGAAGACTCAGACGTCGAATAAATCTCCTCTCCTTCCATCAAGCCTACTTAGAGTCTGTCTAAGCTAGTTGA